TATCAAGTTCTCTATAGCCCGGCCCAGCTCTTGCACACTCAAGCCTATGGCTTCCTTTAGGCAGTCAGTCCCTAATTTGGTCTTCTTCTTTTCCTGTTGCATTCAGCGTTTCCCAGCATAATTGTGTTTTCCATAAAGTTTTGCCTTCTCATTATGTGCTTGACATACATTTACTACAAATGTCAAAATATATGGACAAGACAGTACATTTACTTTAGAATCTCCCACTGTTTCCTAATCTCACATCAACATAGTAACTGTATGTAACCATCTAGTATGTGAGAGGCTTGGATTACAATCCTATACAGGTTTACCCATAATTGTATCCCATTAAGTTGATCAGTGTTTAATTCTGGGCAGATATGCATAGGATTCTGATGTGTGCAACTGTCCTGAAGCTGAACTGGAACTGTTTCATACTTTCTTAAATATAAGGTTATCACTTACTTACTTCATTATCTTAAAAGAGCACATTTATTGACATTTTAATTACCTACTTTTAAAAATGTAGTTGATCAGTTACAGAAGTTTTACTGCTAGATTATCTATTATCAGTTTTTGCTTTTGTACAGCATTTAATGAGAATGATGACAACAATCACTTTAAATGACCCCATAGCTGTACTTGAAAGCCAGTGTTTTCCCATCATGCAGTAACATTAAGCTTCTCTTGAACAAAACCACTCTGTTATTCCAGTTTGATACTCACTATGTTTAAAAATAAACTAAACAGTGTCCCAGACTGAGATTATAGCTTAGCAGAGATTTAGAAGATATGGCTAAGATTTCCAAACTTCTGTGACAAATGGATTTACATGTGTCTTTGAGAACAACTGCCATGTTCAATGTTTTTGATCTTTTGCTATAAATAAATGTTGTGTAATACATATGTTATTTTTGTAAGGCTGAAACAATCTGAAGCCAACTTAATAAAGACTGGTTGTTTTATCTTATTCCCTTCCAAAATCATTTAGAATACACAAAGTGCTTCACAGTATTATGCTAAGAACCGTGTGATATTGCACACTGGTTGTGGCATTAGACCCACATTCTAAACCCACAGTATTATCAATTGAATCCAAACTCTTCCCTTTCTAAAGTTAGCTATAGCTGGTTGGTCAGATTATTATATTTTAACATTCTGATGCTGTTGAGACTAAAACCGACAGAAGGTGCAGAACCTGCAACATGAGCCAGCCACTGCATCAGCTTTCAGTTCTGAGCTACGCCTTAGAAACCTTTCCTTCTTTTGGTCTACAGCTCCTAGGACTTCCCAGGCAGTATCATCACTGTTCTTACTAGCTCAGGGATTTTTGGGCAGTGTAGTCCAAAAAAAAGAGAATAGTTCCATGACTTTCCAAATTTAAAAAATGGGATTATAGGAAACCTAACCAGATCCACTTGTCAATAATGTTATACCAGAGTGAGTCAAGCTATACTATCTGCAGCCTGACCATTTATTTTTATATACAGTATTTATTTAATTTTATGCTGCAGAGCTTAGTGGTGACTCACTGCTCTGGGTGGTGTACAAGGAGAACATAATACCACAATAAACAATACAATAGCAACACAAACTTAGTAACACAATGCTGTTCAGATATTTTGATCTATCAGTTCCCATAATTCATGCCACTGGAGCCATGAAGGGCATCAATTGAGAAAGGCCAACCTGTCTTGATTCCAGGTCCTGCTTGCCTTTCATGGTTGTCTGAATAAGTAGAGATGTGCTTTTCCTACCTTTGCCTCCAACTTGACAAGTTTTCTTAATGCAATCATCATATTTATCTGGATCTTAATTTTAATAGAATTCATGAATGTTGCTTCAAAACCTACATCTGTATTCAATTTAAGCAAACTCCAGATTCCATAATAATTTCCATAATTCCAAATTCCATAATAATTTCCCCAAATGTACCAAAACATAATGATAAGCATCTTGATTAAGAGTTGCCATTTGCAAAGCTTAAAGTCACTACACACCACAGAACCTCATGGGACATTCAGAAAAATCTTACGCAACAAGTCAGCTGAACAGCCCCAGTGACAGATGAGAAGGAAGCACAGAAGCTTAAAGGAGGTATATACACAGTGTAGGATTCTGCTTTCAGCATGCTATTAGCTCTTGTTATTACTCTGTATCAAAGGAGCGTTAAAAGATGTCAAAAATTAAGATTATATATACTGATTGCTACGGCAGTTACTTTTGTTTAAGATCATTACAGACAAATAATAACAGATATGTCGACATTAATCTCTTTGTGAGGACAGCCATTTGAGGAAAACTCAAACAGAACCCGGTTAAATGTTCATTATCACATTTTACAGTCTCCAATGTTTTAGCCTCATAAGGCAGTTTCAAGCATTCCCATTATAATTTCTATGATTATCCTATCTGAGAACCCTTAGAATACTCAAAAATATTCAAGTCTGGACTATCCAAACCTATTATTCTATTATTCCATTATCGTTATAAGCAGAATGGGGTGGGAGGCTGTGCTCTATACAAGAGACTGCTTCATTCAGCCAAACAGGGAGTTAATGGTGCCATGGAATCCTTCCTTGTATGTTTTGACAATAAGGCATGTTTTATTTCAACAGATATTGTCACTGAAAATGCAGAAAACAGCAGCAAAGTTCCCACGAGAAATACTAGTTGTTTTTCTACTTCCTTAAGGTCCTATTTCTTAACTTTTCACAATAACCAACCTTTAAACAACCTGGTATCCTGGTGCCCTTGCGATGTGTTGGACTAAAACTTCCATAATCCCTAGCCAACTAATGACCATGCTGGCTGGCGATGATGGGAAATGTAGTTCAGCAAATCTGGACATCAACATCTACATAACACCTGAGGACAGGCTGTTGGATCCTGACTTCATAGCAACATTTTCAGGAACTCCCACACACCCCTAAAACTAATATGGAATGTATATATGAGAAAACACCAGGTACATTGGAAGTCAGCATTTGCTGTTATAAAAAGGCTTGCCCCCATTTCCTGCATTTGTAGGGGTTTTAAAGCTGCTCCCTTCTCTTTGTGTTGGGAAACCATTGCCAATAAAGGTGACATCTGTGTAATATTACTAAATTTTGCAGTAATCATCATTTGCTTTTGAAAATGTTTTAAACTGTTGCTTGAATATAAGTAGTCAAGAGGATCAATCTTTTTGGCATCACATCTTTCAAAACGCCTTATCCATTGACTCCAGTTTCTGAAAGTATCTAGCAAGTTTTGACGTATTCCTGCTAAACGAAGCCAAAGCACAGTTGAGACATATTCTAGCATATCATTCAAGCTAAGAGCCTTCGGTTTGGTCCTTGTGGCAATGTTCCAAATGTTCCAAATCTGATTGAAAAACACTGACGTTGGTAAGGAGATGACCATTCACTCAGGCAGATCTCATCATCTGCATTAATGGTTCACTTTTTGATGCTTCCCAGAAAATAACAAACCCAAAATCACATCTGTTTGCCTTTTTAAGGGATACATGATTATTTTAATAGATTCAATCTATGATAAATTGCATGTTCATGCTCAATGTGAATGCATTTAAGAGGAACACCACTATACAAAAATCAGGCATCTTGCAAGTCACTACTATATGCTTAAAATTAAAGTGTAACTCAAGTTCCTAGGTAGAAATGTACTTATTTGACTGAAAACTGTTCCTATTGCTACTCTTGTAAACAAAAATCTAAAGTTATATGTACAGATCACAGAAGGACAGACTTTTAAAAAAGGGCTGGTGTAGAAGCAGCTCTAATTTTATGTCAGAGATAACAAAAATGCTTTTCTCTTGACAAACCCTCCAGTTCTTAGTAATCAAATTGCCCGGTAGAAAATGTGAATTGCAAAAAAGCAGGTTATTTAATAAAATCCATGGAAGTCTGAATATGTCTCAAGGGCTACGTGTTCAATGTTATTGATTTGATCAGTGGTTCTTAGTCTTTGGTCCTCCAGGTATTCTGGATTTCTGATGCCAGAATCTCTGACCATTGTTCTGTTTGGGGCTCCTCAGATGTATTTAGGCCTTCTGAGTATTGAAGTCCAAAACAGCTGGACAGTCAAAGATTGACAATTGCAGGAGATTACAATATTTGCATCTGCCAGTATTATCTGGATGCAAGGATCACAATCCAACAACATGTTTAACACAATCAAGGTCATTAATCTCAGTGAGGTGAAGCATGCATATTTTTCTGGGGTGTTTTGGTTATTCTGTTACAATGGCCAGACAGATCCTTTACTGATCCATTTGCTCTTCTGCAAGTACAAAACAAGACACTTTCCTGTTAATTATTCAATCCTATTTTCTAAAATCTTGCAGGGGTTCCCTATTTTGTTTCCAGTGCCTACTCAACTTCAATCAGCAAGCAAAGGAACAATTCAAGGATGCAAGGAACCAAGACAGCTAAAAAAAAGTTATTGCTATTGTTAGTAATACAGGTGTTGCAATACTTGTAATTTGATTTTGCATAAAGTCCTTTGTCCTCTGTTGTTCTGCCCCTTCTCCATTCTGTACCTTCTGTTGGGATCAAACCATATTCTTTCATATTGATTTCTATTTGGATTTGCCACATTTTTAATGATTGCCAAGGGCAATGTGAAAACAATTCAGATAATACTCTTGTAGAAGTGGAATCTTAGAATAAATACTAAATGAAGAGTTTTATAATTCTGGGTTCCTTATATGAAAACAGAACACAAATGGTTTGTATGCAGTCTCGGGCTAAAATGCAAATAATTGATTTTCCGCAGGTTTATGAACCAATTATCACAGTTACAAGATAACCACAACATTTTTTGCTTGGAGATATGAAACTCCACTAGAAGCGATGTATAAAATGACCATGAAACTCATACAAACATACATTAAAAACCTCAGCTACTAAACCTTTTGCCAGACACACACAGAGAGGAGTAATCTCAGAATGTTACTGAATCCCACAAACCAGCATACTTGACCTTTGATCAGGAAATAGAAGTGCAGCACTTACCCAAGGGTTGTCATGGTGACGATAGTGTACCAAAATGAAGCTGGGATGCTGGTGAATTTGCTGGATGCAGATCCCTTCTCTGCATAAAACATCACAGTAGCAAAGATGATGATTGCCATGGTGAGTGAAAAGAGAAGAAAACCAAGCTCAGAGGCACAGCTTTTCAGTGTGTACCCCAAGATTCGCAAGCCTTGGGAATGACGAGAGAATTTGAAAATCCGGAACACCCTGAAAACCCTCAGAGTCACAAAAGCTCCACTGACATCTTCATTGTCTGTCATCACCAATCCAATATAGTAGGGCATAATGGCCACCACATCGATGATGCTCATCACACTCCGGATGAATCTGTAGCGACTAGGGGCTGCAAACAGTCGCATCAGGTACTCAACTGTGAAAATCATAACGCAAGCTGTGTCCAAGCAGAAAAAAGCCATTTCATATCTTTCCCCGCATGGCAGTTCCTTGCTCCCAGGCATTGTCCCACAGGGTACAGTCTCCACCACATTGGTGATCACAGAGACGGCAATAAAGAAGCCAGTGACATAGTAAAAGACTAAGGCTAAAGTGCTGGTATGGGGGTTCTCAAAGGCTCGCCACATGGTCTGCCGGAAGCTCAGGGCGGGCATGGACTCTTGGTTGTTCTCAGAGTCACTGTCATCCATCAACCGCTCAGCATTTTCCCGCTTCCTATCTTTGTACTCTTCATAGCAGCAGTCCCCAATGATGTCAGGTAGAATCCCATAAAAGGCAAGTTCCTCGTCGTATGCTGAGATACACTCGTACCGTGGGTAGTGCAGCTTGCCAGTCCTGTAAAAGTTTAAGATGCATCTAAAGACATCAGGATCCCGGTCAAAAAAATATTCCTTGGTGTCTTCATTGAAGAAGAATTCTTTTTCTGTGCTGCCAAGCAGAGTGTCAGGGTACCTCTCCAGGGTAGTCCTCCATGTCTGGAAGCGCCTGCCACTCACATTCAGAACTACCAGCTCATCTTGCCGCTTGTTTTTATCCGAGGGGGCCAGGGGCATAGGACAGTTGGCTACTGGCATCCATCCTATGGCCGCTGCTCTGGCAAAAGGCAGCCATGCTGCTACACCTGCTGCCATGATGGATCGGGGCTCAAGACCAAAGAAGGCTGTTCTTCTAAACACCGCTTGATTTCAGTTCAGTTCCATCTGAAACATGGGATTAAACACAAAGTGAGTGGCTATTTTACTTTTGCTGATATTATAAGTAAAGCAACATTTGATGGGGGTGGGAACATCAAGATTTGAAATAAATAAATGCAATAGCTCCATATCACCAAAATATGTGAGTTTAATTGCACATTAGTTCTACTTCACAATAAATTAAAATGGACCCTTAACTTGGAGGGAACCGAGTGACTAATTCTGTGGATCTCTACTCTATCTCTACAATACATCAAGAATTACTGTATGCAGTCATTTCCACTTAGTTGGTCCATTAGATTGTCTGTAATAATGCAAAGAAAGGAAAAGAGTTATGTAGGCAGTAAGTAAGGCAGGGATAGCTACACCTTTTCCACACTTGCAGTTCACTGTCAAACCTTGATAGTCAAACTTGTATCATATTCCTCTTTAGAAGCATGGTTGTTTAAAAATGCACATAATTAACATGGATATGTTATGACATTATTGTAAGTAGATTTTTTGAATAGCAAATCAGTCCTCATTAAAAGCGTTTAAAAGTAGCACCAACATTCTAATTTAAATTTGCTTCCTTAGACACAAGCTTAGTTGATCATTTGCCATATGTAAGCTAGGTGCCCTAATCAAGAAACACAGTAGCAAGATATCATATGACCTGGAATTCAACTTTCACCAAGTTAAGTCCTTCTACTATTCACAGAAATATTTATCAAAGTTCAATATATTCAGGGCCCAGTTTGTTATCCAGACAGCAGCCTGGATGTTAAAACTCAAGTTCTCTGAACAAGCTGTCCTCCTCAAGCAGGCTGGTATCCATTGGCTAGTGCTAAATTCCTAATGATCACTTGTACATGCAGATTTTTTTTCTGGGATGAGGGCAAAGTTGAATATGAATCACAATATATAGTGTGCACAACTACAACACAGTGCAACTGTGTTCAATTTGTGTTCTGGAGGACAGGCACCTCCTTCCATGGATCTCCACTCTCATGATTGTGGAGGCACTATTATTTCTCCCCTGCCTTCATGCCCAGTGATTCAGCACTACCCAGCCAATTCTAGCCTGCCAGTGATCTTTTTATTGTAGTAATAACAAACATACTACCAATGTCTACAGACTACTGCATTATAAATTTAATAGAAAAAACTCATATTGCAGAAGGTATAAACTGGAGAAAGGAACAAGCTATAGAAATAACTGAAACTTTAAAGCACAGTTATGTATCCATGTGTTGAACAGGATTCAAGGGATTGCTGGACTTTATGTGCCTAGCTGCATTGCATGTGCTTGTCAACACTATATGCCAGGAAAAGTATCTAAAGAAGTGCTCTGCTTGATTAGATCAATAGTTTGCACAGTCCAACAATCTGTTCTCACAATGGCCAGCAGGTACTTGTGAGAAGCCTAGGGCAAGGTCATGAGGGCAGTAATCTTTTCCAAGCAAGTGATATCCAGGAGTACACTGTATCTGACACCATAGATCAGTGGGTCCCAATCTTCAGTTCCCAGATGTTCTTGGACTATTCAAGTCCATATATCCTAGTCAGCAGAGCTAGTGGTGAAGGCTTCTGGGAAGTTTAGTCCAAGGTTGGGAACCACTGCTGTAGATAATAAACCACTTACATCATGACTAATAGTGATTGATAGCCTTATCCTCCATGAATCTGGATAATTTTCTTTTACAGTTCTCCTGGCTGGTGGCCATCACTTTATCCTGTGATGGAAAGTTTATATGTTCCCAGTGTTTCATTTTCTCTGCTATGAATCTTGCACTATTCAACTTCATTTGATGAACCCAGATTCTCATATTATGATGGAAGAAGAAAAACCTCCCTCTCAAACCTTTTCTCTACACTGTGCAATTTTATACACCTCTATCACATATCTCTTTGCTGACCTTGTTTCTACTTTTTTTAAAAAAATTCGTATGTTGCTCCAGCCTCTTTATCAAGTTGTTTTCTCTCTTCTGCACTTTTTAAAGCATAGTTTGAGTGTAGTCAAAGAATGAGTAAGATTTTGAAATACAGTATGGCTATGGATACATTAATGATGAGTCCAGTGTCTCATTGAAACTGCCATAGACTGGGAAATAAATAGTACAGTACAATACAAATCTATGGATGTTTACTCATAAATAATTTTCACTGAGTTCAAGGTTGTTTTCTTGCAAGACTAACCCCATTAAGTTAAAGGGAGGTTATTACAAAGCAGAGTTTTGTACACTGGGTCCCTCCAGATGCTTTCAGACTACATCTCTCATCAGCACTATCTAGCATAGGAAATGAGAAGGAATGCTGGCAGTTGAAATTTTGGAAGGCCACCATTGCCCAGCCTCTGCTTGAATGAGAAGGAGCAGAGGGCATGTTGCATATTTGGGTGTCAATAATATCACTGGGCCTTAGAAAGCACTGCTAACAAGGCCAGTGGAGGTGATGGCATTCCAGGTGAACTATTTAAAATCTTAAAAGATGACGCTGTTAAGGTGCTACACTCAATATGGCAGCAAGTTTGGAAAACTCAGCAGTGGCCAGAGGATTGGAAAAGATCAGTCTACATCCCAGTCCCAAAGAAGGGCAGTGCCAAAGAATGCTCCTACTACCGTAGAATTGCACTCGTTTCACAGGCTAGCAAGGTTATGCTCAAAATCCTTGAAGGCAGGCTTCAGCAGTATGTGGACTGAGAAATCCCAGAAGTACAAGCTGGAGTTCGAAGGGGCAGAGGAACTAGAGACCAAATTGCTAACATGCGCTGGATTATGGAGAAAGCCTGAGAGTTCCAGAAAAACATCTACTTCTGCTTCATTGACTATGCAAAAGTCTGACTGTGTGGACCACAGCAAACTATGGCAAGTTCTTAAAGAAATGGGAGTGCCTGACCACTTTATCTGTCTCCTGAGAAATGCAAATGGAAAATGAACATTTTTCTTTAAAAACATGGAAATTACTTGAGTGACTGATTCCTGAAATTAGAAAATCAGAGTGTGAATGAAAGGAATAGAAACTCACAAAATCTTTGGACAGGTTTCCCATCCACATCTGAACCACTCTTATTCTGGAAACAATACGAATTCCTCTATTAACACTTAATTTGATTTTTTTTCCTGCTTTGATGCCAGTTTGTTGTAATAAATTTGACCAAAACAAGCTTTCCACACTTTGTTTTGCCTGGTCTTTTGTAACAATTTTTAATGAAGCTCAGAGTAACCTTCAGGCTACTTCTGATTTAATGTGGGATGATTGTGTGGTCCATATTAGGTCCAAGGGGCAGGATCCTGTTGTCTGGACTCCTGGAGCTTGCCCAAACCAGGTGAACCCAAACCAGGTGAACATTTTCTGGCAATGTTTTTTTTACACAATGCTTCATAGAGTTTTTTTTCTGCAATGGCAGTCATTTTTGTTGGTCATAGCAATGGTTCATAATGGTATGACATTTCTGTAGTAGAATATTAGAAAGTGGTAATAAACCAAAATGTCAGATTATTCTTTTCAGTGACAGCTTGTCTAGAATTTATGGTCTGAGATTGCAAAAATTTCAATGTTGGAAATAGTTTGCATCTCACAGCCACAAAAGATCCCAGCATGGCCTGATTTGCACATTTGAGAATTGTTGGTGGGTACTGAGAATGCTCTCAGCTCCTTCAGTTTCCTCATTGTTTTTCTTATTTCCTAAAGTTTCTTCTGAGAACTTAGCAAATCTTGCATAGAAAACAGTCATATTCTTCACAGAACTAACCTGAATCCTGCAATGGAGATACAGCCTGCACAGAAATCACAATATGTTCTTTTCAGGATGATGCTTTTCAGTTTATGTCACCACCTTGCAGAACAACTGGAATTTGTTGTGCATATTGCATTTATAGCAGAAAATGGAGATGTCTGGCAAGATTCCTTTCCAAACATTTGACTTAGGAAATCTCAGAGCAGAGAGAAAAGAGGGATTTTCCCCGCTCTCCTTTTTAGCTGGACTGAGGACCTGCAAGATTCATGTCCCTGGTCTGCAATGTGGCTTGCAACCAATAAAGGAATACCAAAACATGAAAATATAAAATATAAAAATATATTATTATTATTATTATTATTATTATGGATCATAAATGATGAGGGGAGATGAACTGACTAGTATCAAAAATAGTATCAAGAACGTTAGGAGGGTTGGTGTAAGCTCCTTTGAATGGTTATACAGTAATTAGAGACTGGCATGAATTGAAAAATGAGCTATCAATTTTGTTTTAAAAATTGCTAGTTTCTTGATTTGTATTCATACAAATCAATGTGCCCAACAAATACGAATCAATGAATTTTTAGTGATTTTCAGTTTATTGATCTGTTTGGTTATAAAACATCCTCCCAGGCACCTAGAGACACCAAAATTGCAGGGAACTTTTCCCTGACTCTCCTCAACAATCCCTTCAAGATTGGTGAAGGTTGGACTTCCCCAAGCCAGCTGCTAAATGGCAGTTTCCTGAGGGGATTCACTTCGTGGGTGTATAACCTGGATGTCTGAGACCCAATTGTCCCCAAACTTGCAGTGGTTGTAGAGGAGAGTCTGTAGAAGCTTCTCTCTGATTTTGTGTCTCTGGCTGCCAGAGGAAAACGTTCTTCATGGGGACCTCCTTGTAGGTGTATAATTTGGACGTCTGAGCTCCTAACTTCACCATGCAGGGCTTGTAGAGGACAGTCAGGAGAAGCTTTCCCGTGAACCTGATGTTTCTAAGCACTTTGAGGGCCATTCTACTTCAATTTTTTGAAGTAGAGAAAATTGAATGGACAAATTAATTTATCAGAAAAATCATAAATTTGTAATTTGTGATTTATTGATCTTGATGAATCATAAATCAAAATGAATAATCATTTTTTTCTGATTCATGCCCATCTCTAGTTGTAATGTCCATCATGTATTATTTTTGGTCTTCATCATGTATATTTTGCAATGAATTCTTAATCAATACAACAAATTTCATTGTTAAGGAAATAATTAAGGTGACAGAAATAGCATCACATGTCAT